GGGTCTCGAACCCGCGGGCTCAGGCAATTCACTCACCTTGGCCTCCCAAAGCGCAGGATTACAGACAAAATTGATATTTAAGAATATGTATTCCAGCTACTTGGAAGGCAGAAGGATCCCTTGAGCCCAGCAGGTCAAGACTGCAGTGGCCATGAGCATGCCACTGCCCTCCAGCCTGGGTGACAAAGTGAGACTCTGACTCAAAAAAAAAAAAAAAAAAGAATATATAAATCCAATTTAAACATAGTCTAAAATTGCCAAAATGGTTTATAAGAACTGTTTGGGTAGCTGGTATGGTGACACATGCCTGTAGCTCCAGCTACTTGTAAGACTGAGACAGAAGGATCGCCTGAGCCTAGCCTGGGTGACAGAGTGAAACTCCAACTCAAATAAATAAATAAATAGATAAATAAATAAATAAAATGTTTGGGGCAACCTCCTTGGGTCCTCTACCACACTGGGAGCTTTTCTGTCCTCTCGATAAATCCTGCTTTCCACAAAAAAAGATTTGGTTTGTTAAACCCATAACTCTGGTAAGATAATGAAAACAGGTGATATATTTCCACATATGCTGGATCATTTGAACACTTGCAGGTGAATTTCATTCAATCACCACCTTCAATGTTGCCACCTAGGCAACTTGGTGAGACCCCATCTCTACAATAAATCAAAAAATTAGCGCGCACCTGTAGTTCCAGCTACTTGGAAGGCTGAAGAGGAAGGATTGCCGGAGCCCAGCGGCCATTACACTCCAGCTTGGGTGACAGAGTGAGACTCCAACTCAAAAAAAAAATCAATTTTGTTTCTATGATTCAGATGCATAACACTGTATATTAAGTAAGTTATCACAAGTAATTTGGCTCAATCTTGTGGAGTTCATTCAAATTGCATATCTTTTTTTTTTTTTTTGAGTCAGGGTTTCACTGTGTTTCACACCCAAGCTGGAGTGCAATGGCATGATCATAGCTCACTGCAGCCTCGAACTCTTAGGCCCAAGCAATCCTCTCACCTCAGCCACTGGGGCTACAGGTATGCACCACTGCGCTAGGGCAAATTACGTATCTTAACAATTTCAGTACTGGCTGACTTAGATGAAAATCTGCCAAATAATTTTCTTGATATTTAATTATTGTCCTGCTTGATGTTAGGTTAGCAGTTCTATGAACCATTCCATTTCTTCATTAGAGTTCTGGAAATTCCTACTTCCATCAAGCACGTGATATTAGAGTTATTGGAAAACTGTACTTGTGAGAGTTCTTTCCAGGAATCTCCTTGAAAATGAAATACTTTAGGTTTGATTACTCAGTAAAGTACCAGAGTAAACCAATTAACCATCTGTGAATCACAAGACTTAAAATGGCCTTGATTGACTGGACATGGGGGCCCACATTCATAGTCCCAACTACTTGGGATGCTGAGGCAGAAGTATCACTTAAATCCAGGAGTTTGAAGCTGCGGTGAGCTCTGATTGTGCCACTGCACTCCTGCCTGGGTGACAGAATGAGACTCTGAGCCAACAGCAATAAAAAATGGCCATGATTAAACATCTGATGAGAGTTAATTACAATAGTGACACAGTTGACAGGGAGATTTGGTTATTTCTGTTGCTTATAACATTTTAAGATAATAACTAGAATTATGAGTCTTAGCATTATACCAGGACTATTTGGTTTCTATGAAAAGCACTGGTGTTAGTTAATTTTCTGAAACAGTAACCACTTATTTTTCTTAAAGCCATTTAGTGCTATTTTATAATTTAATTTGGCAAAGTCTTAAAAATATAGAAAAATACTACACACACACATATATATATCATACATACAGACATTCATAAATATATAAACAGAAACAGATCTTACAGCTTTCATTTGAAAATTTCAACCATGTGCCAGGTATAATAATACAAAAATCACCAATTTATTAAGGAATATCTGGATCCAAATTGTTTTTCTGGCCAATTGAGTAATAGCTCCTGCCCAGATGGCTAAAGATTCTGAATAAGATTTGTGAAAAGATTTAAAATTTTTTGTATTTGTTTTCTGTAAGAAAACTTATTGATTCATTTAATCTTTTAGATAACTTTAATCTTTTGTCTCATTTAATCTTTTAGATACCTCTGTGTACCGATTAAAGAATGCATCCCATTGCTTTTGTGGCGTTTTGGATCCTTTCTTTTTTAATGCACCTTGCAAGTGAACAATTTTATCTAGGTCAAAACGTCCCTATTGTAGCCACTGTAATTCTATGTTGTCTTTAGTAAGATTAACTCATTTTTCAAAAAATACACAAGTTTTGGGCCCATAATTTTTGTGCATAAAGTTAACTGGTATCCCTGAAAGTAGAGTCTCAGACTCCTGGAGTCCCAGACTACTTAGATTTGGAGGAACCCATTTTCAAAAGGTGCATACCTATGCCTAGTAATGGAATCCAATTCAATTAATTATCAGATCTGATTTGATCCTGGACCCAGTCTTGTCTAAGAATTGCTCAAATAAAATTGGAGAACTCAAAACACAAGTTTTATGGAGGTTGGAATCTAAGAATGTGCTCACCCAAGACCTCCAGCTGCTGCAAGAGAACAATGGACACCATGTGTCCTGTTAGGTACCTTTGCTTGGTTACTCAGTGCCCCTGAGGGTTACTGGCTTTCTACTTCAGATCCCACTTCTGACACCAATCTGTTAAAAGGTAAACCTTAGATAAATTTAATTTAGCAGAGTTTATCTGAGCAAAGAAATGATTCATGAGTCAGGCAACACCTTGAACCAGTAAAGATTCAGAGCGCTCTATTCAGCTACCTGGGCAGGCAGTATTTATAGACAGAAAAAGAAAGCAGCATACAGAAATAGCCTGATTGGTTAATACTTGGTGTTTGTCTTATTTAGACATGTCTGAGCAGTTTGCAGTCTGTGACTCATAGCTCAGCTGCTATGATTGGCCAAGAATTGGCTACTGTTTACCAGAATATACTCTCTCAAGTTAGGTTGCAGTTATTTACATATTAAGTTCATTTTAAGTATTAAGTTTGCGATGTAAGGAAGCCGCTTTAGGCTAAATTTAATTTAATTTAACACCTCCAACTTGAAAGACAGAAACCAAAACAAACCAACAGAGAAACAGGAAAAAAAATTTTGAAGATTTATATGCATGTGTAACTTTAAAAGAATAAAAACAAGAGTTACTTAAATTAACACTTAGAAGATAGGTAGTTATATTCTCAGGTAACAGTTGTCTCTAGGTAGAGGAGATTGTGAGTATCCTTTCTTGTTGTTTATATTTTCTGAGCTTTCTGTAAAGGACATCTAATGCTTTACAAGAAGGGGAAAAAAAGATTAGTACGTTGGTAGCCTTGGAAGAAACAATCTCAATAAAACATGTATTTATCAGTGAATTTATTCCCCCTCTTTTTGCAAAAAAAAAAGTTTGTAGGTGTATTTATAGTCAAAGGTAAGAGATAGTCTTGTCAGATGTCAGTAGGGTAGCCAACTATCTCTATTTGTCCAAGACTTCGCAGTTTCCTAGGACCCTGGACTTTTAATGCTGAAACCAGAGCAGTCCTGCCCAAACCAGGATAGTTGGTCATCTTAGACTATGTAATTTACAAAGATTTCTCCATATCCCTATGATCCTATGATCATACCAACTCAGAGAGGTAGGTGTGCCAGTAGATGGCCACCTCCATTTCAAAGGAGAGGCAATTAAGGCTCAGGGACGCTCCCTATTCATTACTTGGGAGAGGCCGTAAGAGGAAGTGGGTTTTTAAACTATGTGCACATATTACTTTGATAAAATTAAAAAAAATTTTTTTAAAGAGTCTAGAATGATAGAAACAATATGGACCTTGGAGGGATGGACTGCATTTTTTTACTGCATTTTGACCTCGCCCAGTCAAACTGTACACTTTAAATGGATGTAGTTTTGTTGTTCTTAAATTATACCTCAATTAGAAAGAGAGAGACTGGGCTCCGTGGCTCAGCCTATAATCTCAGTACTTTGGGAGGCCGAGGCGAGTGGATTGCCTGAGTCCAAGTGTTTGAGACCAGCCCAGACAACTTGGCGAGACCTCATCTCTACAATAAAATAAAAAATAGTTGGGCATGGTAGTGCACATCTGTAGTTCCAACTACTCGGAAGGCTGAGGCGGAAGGATCGCCGGAGCCTAGCAGGTCGACGCTGGGGTGGCCGCGAACGTGCCACTGCACTCCAGACTGGGCGAAGGAGTGAGACTCCAACTCAAAAAAAAAAAAAAGAAAGAAACAGAAAATATGAAGAAGGGGGCAGTTATGGCCTCCTTGAAGAACTCACATTTGGGCTGACACCTGTCCATTTCCATATTTGGGCTCTCTCCTCCGTGCCTGTCTTCCACCCCTCCCCTCTCTCTGATGGAGCATCTCTCTGGGTCAGCCATCTCTCTCCAGGGAGTGCCTAATTCTCTAGGCTCCACAGCACTAAATTGTCCTCTCTGTCCCCAGGACTCCAACCTGTCTGTGTACACGGACAACCCAGACCTGACTCCCTGCTTCCAGAACTCCCTGCTGGCCTGGGTCCCCTGCATCTACCTGTGGGTCGCCCTGCCCTGCTACCTGCTCTACCTGCGGCACCATCATCGAGGCTACATCATCCTCTCCCACCTGTCTAGGCTCAAGACGGTCAGGGTCTTAGGGCTCTCCTATGGTTGGGGCTGGGACTGGGAGATTCTGCTTTGAGTGATCCCTTCCCCGACTTCCTCGACTGGACTATGTTCCCCAGCCTTACCTGCCCTGACCCAGGAGCCACGGCAGCCTGCCAACTGGGTCTGAGGCCAACGGAAACATTCCCAGCTGGGGAAAGTTCAACCAAGTTCAGCAACACTCTCCTTACCCCTCGAGAAGCTCTGGCCTGCTTTGTTCCCAGCCCTCAGGACCAGGTCCAGGCGGGTTTCGAGGCTTCTTGTGGCTTCAGGTGCAAAGACCCCTTGTTTCTAGAGATGAGGACTCAACCTGTGCCCTCTTTGTAGGTCCTGGGAGTTCTGCTGTGGTGTGTCTCCTGGGCGGACCTTTTTTACTCCTTCCATGGCCTGGTCCACGGCTGGGCCCCTACACCTGTCTTCATTGTCACGCCCCTGGTGGTGGGGGTCACCATGGCAAGTGTGGGGCTCAGGAAGCTGGGTGGAGGAGGTCTCCAGTGGGTTGTGGACTGTGCTGGAGGAACCGTGGGCTGGACACCTTGAGAGTGGGAAGAGGAAGGGGCGGCCCCAGAAACTTCTGGCTATGTGGGATAGGAAGGAATGGAGGCAGGTCCAGAGGCATGTGCTCTGCCCGGGCCTCCCCGGCCCTCCCTGAACAGCTGCTGGCCACCCTGCTAATCCAGTATGAGCGGCTGCGGGGGGTGCAGTCTTCGGGGGTCCTCATCATCTTCTGGTTCCTGTGTGTGGTCTGCGCCATCATCCCCTTCCGCTCCAAGATCCTTTCGGCCAAGGCAAAGGTAAGGGGGGAGAGAGGGGAACCTGCCAAGTTCAGTCCTGCCTAGGAGTGTGACTCCAGGATTCAAGGTTACTGCTGGGTCCCAGGCCCCTCCCCACTGCCCCTGCCCCACTCCCGCGACCGCCTCTGCTCAATCTGCTGTTCCCACTTGCTGCATCTCTGCCTGGAAGCAGGCGGGGAGGGAGGACCAGCGGAACACAGGGAGATGGGGCAGATATGCCGCCACTGTTGAAGGGCCGTGGGAATGTGGGGGGCTGTTCGATAGCCCCCCACTCCAAGTGCAATGGCTGCCATGGGTGTCAATCAGGGCCTGTAATGATCCCAGGTATGCAGATACACTTGAAGAGTTTCAGCATACCTGGAAGTCCCATCAGTATGTGGGACTTTCTCCCCCACCCCGTTGGTTCCTGGTTTTCTTCTTGATCTTTGGTGGTGGGAGTGGTGTTTGGGTGGTGGGATGGGGCGGGGATGGTCGACCGAGAGCCTCCTGTGTCTCCGTCTTAGCGGGAGGTGGATGAGGAGGGTGGCTAAGAGCACAGGCCTTGAACGGTGCACTCAGCCTCCACGTGAGCTTGGCCACGTGGCTTGACCCTTGGACACTCATTCACTTCCCCAGATGCAGAAAGGGACCCCTGAGATCTCCTACCTGTGGAATGTTGTCCCAGTTAGATCAGGTCACATGGTTAAGTGCTGGCACGATGCTTGCACAGGACAAGTCCTCCCTGAACCACAGCCCCCTTCCGACACCTCCTCGTTGCCCAGAATCCTCTGAGTGGGGACCTGCAGGCCTCTGGTGCTACCTCCTACGCCAAAGGAGCCTTATGCCCCAGGGACTCCCCAGGGTGGGGGCCTGGCTTTCCTGGCACTCCCGGCTTCCCTGGTGCTCTGATGCCCTCTCCCCTCCCCCATCCAGGGTGAGATCTCAGACCCCTTCCGCTTCACCACCTTCTACATCCACTTTGCCCTGGTGCTCTCTGCCCTCATCCTGTCCTGCTTCAGGGAGAAACCGCCGTTTTTCTCCCCAAAGAACGTCGACCCTGTGAGTTTGCAATGGGAGGTGGGGTCTCACATCTCAGCCCATCCCTAACCAGCAACTCCCAACCCCTCCTTCCTGTTTCTTCCAATTGGAGAGAGAGATCATTTCCACAACTAGGGCTTGGGGTTGAAAAGGAACAAGGCTCCTCCCTTTCCCTACCATACTTTGAGAGGGTGGTGGACACTCCCGATTCCCTTCTTCTCTTACCTTCCAGAACCCCTGCCCAGAGGCCAGTGCTGGCTTTCTCTCCCGCCTGTCTTTCTGGTGGTTCACAAAGTGAGTTGGGTTTTCACCACCTGGGTCAGAGGGACGGGAGAGACTGGAGGTGAGAGGGAGGAAGGTGAGCAGGCCAGGTTCTCAGAGACCTGGCTGGCCCCCTACCCCATGGACATGGGGCAGGCCAGGGTGGGGAAGGGTGTCGAGGTTGGGAGGCTGCTAAGTGCGGAGGCCTGGCCTGGCCCAGCTCAGCTCCCAGGCTGCAGACCAGTCCTGCATCCGGCAGGCTGCAGGGACAGGCCCAGGGCGCTGTAAGGAGACCGTAATTAGTTCCCAGCTCTTCTGTCTGGGATGAGTTTACAGCTTGTCATCTCCTTGGCTGCTCCTCAGAGTGGCTTGAGCAAGATAATTGTGTCTGTGACCTGGGTGACAGCTCATTAACCTCACCGCACTGGGGAAGCACCTGAGGCCAGGGCTAAATCCACCGTGCCTTGTTCTCATCCAGGGCCCTAGCCAGCATGGATTTTGTCACCAGGGCATGGGGGGAGATGGGGCATCTGGGGAGGAAGAGGAAGAGGGGTTAGAGAGGAACTTGGGAGAGGGAGGCAGCGGCCTGTGGCCTGTTCACTGTGGGAATGAGGGAGACACTTCCCGTGGTCACCGCACCTGAGGGTGACTGTCCTTTCTGGAGACCCAGGGGCCCTGGAGACACTGGCCCTCAGCTCCAGGCTGCTAAACTCTGACCCTCTGTGGGCTGCCCGCCCGCCTCCACCTCCCTGCCAGCATGGCCGTCCTCGGCTACCGGCATCCCCTGGAGGAGCAGGACCTCTGGTCCCTGAACAAAGAGGACAGCTCCCAGATGGTGGTGCAGCGGCTGCTGGAAGCATGGAGGACGCAGCAAAAGCAGTCGGCGCGGTGAGGCCCTGCCCGTGTGCCCAGGCCCCTGCTACCCAGCCCGGGTCTCCTGCAGATGATGCTGGTGGACCTGGGACCATTGCATCGCTGGGGTGGGGAGCAGAGCAGGACCAGTGGATTTCCTGGCAGCCTCAGGATCGTGATGTGGGAAGCCTCGGCCTGGTTGGGCCCTCTGACCATGATGTGGGAAGTCTCGGCCAGGCTGGGGCTGGCTCCCCCAGCTCTAGTGAGGACAGGAAAATGGCCGACTCTTTTGTGGCTCTTACTCCCTTCAAGGCCCGATGCTAAGCATGTAGATCAACTCATTTAATCTCTCACCAGCCCTACAGTGTAGACCCTAATGTCCTTCCTACAGGTGGGGACACTGAGGCACAGAGGTTTGATGGTGTGCCCAAGGTCCCCTCGTTAGTGGTGGCAGGGCTGGAACCCACGTGCAGCTGTCTGGCCTGCTCATACCCTGCATGGCATAAAGGGTAACTCTAGGAACTTTCTTCACGAGGGAAAAGAGCCAGCACCCTCTACACTATCCTGCCTCCTCTTGTCTTGCGGTGGTGGCTGGATGAACTGACCCTCCCCCGTGGGGCCTTCCCACCGACAGCCTCCCATCAGGGACCTGTGAACCCTTCTCTGGCCAACTACCCCGCCATGAGAGCTGGAGCTCAGGGTCATCCTTCCCCACCCACTTCCGACCCCAGGATTGAACGCTCTTCCCTTCCACCCCCAGCCCAGGGCCCAGAGGTTCAGTGTTTGCTCAGCCTGGCACTCCTGGCTGTCACTAGCCATAGGAGGAGCTGAGGGCCTGGGCCTGGGTAGCAGTATCTCGGCTTCCATGGCCTGGAGCCTCCAGGATGGAGTTTGGGCCCCCAGTCTGCCTGCTTCACCCCCCCTCTGTCCTTCCATGCCACCTCTGCCCCGTCCCTGTTCAGCTGTCCGGGGACTGGGCCTCTAGCCCTCCTTGGCCTTCTCCCTCTCATCCTCTTCCCTGGAGCCAACCCTGGGGAGGTAGGGGCTAGCTGGGCTCCACAGCCCTTGGGGAGCAGTCTGGTCACCCCTTCAGATGCCCTCTAGCACCTGAAGACAGAGTCACCTGTGGTTCTCAGGTTGTCTGTCTCCCTCCTAGCTCTGAGAGTCAAGAACACAGCTCTCTCCACCTCCTCCTCACTGCCGGCCCGTCCAGCCTGGTGCTTGGCTTCACAGGGCCCCGTGCCCACTCTTACCCTCTGCTCCTTCCTCCCCTGACCAGACACAAGGCTGCGGCGGTATCTGGCAAGAAGGCCTGTCGCGAGGACGAGGTGCTGCTGGGTGACCAGCCAAGGGCCCGGGAGCCCTCCTTCCTGTGGGCCTTGGTGGCCACCTTCGGCTCCAGCTTCCTCATCAGCGCCTGTTTCAAGCTGGCCCAGGACCTGCTCTCCTTCATTGGTCCTCAGCTACTCAGGTCTCTCTACTCCCTCCCTCTACAGGCTTTCCTGGGTAGGGGTGGGGGAGGGGGAGGGTGGGGTGGCTGGCTGACTGCTCAGAGGGCTGGGCCCAGAGGAAGGAACCACATACAATGAAGAGAACCCCAGACCAGGAACAGAAGAGGCTGTCTCCACTCGGTGGGACTCTTGGCAAGTGGTGTTGCCTCATCTCAGTTTCCCCGTTCACATTCAACTTCCATTCACTGGGTACCTACTATGTGCCAGGCATGTGGTGGGTCTGTGAACAAGTATTCTCTCTTTCAATCTTTCCAACAATCTATGCAGAGGAGCTCCTATTCCAGTTTTACAAATGAGAAAGCAGAAATTCGGCCAGACGCGGCAGCTCACGCCTGTAATCCCAACACTTTGGGAGGCCGAGGCAGGAGGCTTGCGTAAGCCCATGAGTTTCAGACCAGCCTGGGCAGCATAGCAAGACCCTGTCTCTATAAAAAATCCAAAAGTTAGCCAGGCATGATGATGTGCACCTGTAGTTCCAGCTACTTGGGAGGCTGAGGCGGGAGGATCCCTTGAGCCCAGGAATTTGCAGTTATAGTGAGCTGTAATCACACAACTGCACTCCAGCCTGGGTGACAGAGCAAGACCTAGTCTACAAGAGAAGGAGGAGGAGGAGAAGAAACTTAGCGAGATAAAGTGACTTGGCCAAGAACATACTGCCAGTAAAGAGGGAATGTGGTCTGAGTCCAGGCCTCTGAACTCCAGCTGTTTCCACCACCCTTAGGCTCTGACACTTATGCGAGGAGTGACTCAGATGAGAGGGGGGAAGAAGTGCTGCCTGGCCACAAACCCCCACCCTTGCCCCTCCATACCTGCATACCTCTGTTCAGTGAGCATGTATTGACCCTCCAGGGTACCAGAATGACTAGGCATACAGAGATAAATGAGATATAGTCCTGATGTCTAGGGAGAGAAACCTAGGTGTAAATCAATTAGAATACAGTAGGGGCAGAGGTGTGCTCAGGGGTCTGGAAAATTCCAGGAGGGACAAGGAAGCCAGTCTGGGATGGAGCGGGGAGCACTTGCCAGCTCAGGAGGTTATCAAATTTGAATAAATTTGGACATGTAGATGAGGAAAGGGGGGATAGCTCAACTTTCGTTTGGTCACAAAGGCCCAAAACAGTGTGTCTCAGGAATTCCAGGTGTTTCTGAGTGCAGGAGGAAACGGTAGTGAGAGAAAGGGTAGGGGACAGAGAAAGAGGGAGTGCTAGGGATCCTTAAGAGTGTGGAGCCAGGGTGGGGCATCTGGTTTAAAGGATCTCCTGCCAGGAGAGTGGGGGTTGTGAGCAGGGTGGCTGGATGGACGGGGGTCAACCTGGTCAGATGGAATCTGGGCCAGGTGTGAGATAAGCATTCAAAAGCTATCTTGAATGCTCTTGAGACGCTTGAGCATGCCAGGGAGAGGGGGGGACTCAGGCCACCCTGGTGGATCTTTGGCTGAGATGATGGACTCAGCGGGAGGAGGAGGCTGGGCATGGGGCGAGGCTCCCAGCTAGCTGGAGTTCATGTCGTCGGAGCCATCGGGTGGAAGCCCACAGTCCTGGCTTGGCTCTCTCATGCAGGGCGAGAGGGTGGAGAGCCCAGCAGAGCCCAGGGATCCTGGCAGGTGAGGAGGCGAACATAGAGTAGACACAGAGGGGCCAGAGCCGGGACCAGAACCTGGACCAAGGAGCAGAGTGCAGGGAGCATCTCCCAGGAATGGAATGGAATGGCCATCTGTGAAGAAAACTGGCTGGTGAAATAGAGGCTTGCAAGGCAACATGGAGTTGGTTTGTGACTTTACCAAGAATAGAGGCTGGCGCAGAGGGGAGGGCCTGGGAGCAATGGTCTACAGTGGAGACCGGGTCTAGAAATTTGCTGTAAAGAAAGGTGTATTTGACTGGGCATAGTGGCTCATGCCTGTGATCCCAACACTTTGGGAGGCTGAGGTGAAAGGATTGAAACCAGGAGGTTGAGCATGAAACTAAGAGTTCAAGACCAGCCTGGGCAACAAAGTGAGACCCCACCCCCCACTCCTGTCTCTCCAAAAACGAAAAAAATTAGGGCACAGTGGCACACATCTGTAGTCCCAGCTATTCAGGAGGCTGAGGCAGGAGGATTGCTTGAGCCAAGTTCTAGGTTGCAGTGAGCCATGATCGAGCCACTGCACTCCAGCCTGGGCAACAGAACAAGACCTTGTTGCCCCCCTTAAAAAATATATATTCATTTTCTAGGACTGCTATTGCAAGTCGCCACAGACTGAGCAGCTAAAAGCAACAGAAATTCATTCCCTCATAATTCTGGAGGGTGAAAGTCCAAAGCCAAGGTGTTGGCGGGGTTGGTTCCTTCCAGGGGTTCGATGAAAGTCTGTCCCTTTCCTCTCTTCCAGCTTCTGGTAGTTTCTGACAATCCTTGGTGTTCCTGGTTTCTAAGTGAATCCCTCTAATCTCTGCCTTCCTTTTCTTGAAGAGCGTGTGTGTGTGTGTGCATGCGCGCATGCACACGCGTACAAATCTCCCTTTTCCTTCTCTCCTAAAGACACCAGTCCCTGAACTAGAGTCTACCCTATGCCCCTACTCCTCTATGGCCTCACCTTCACTTGATTATAATTGCAAAGACCCTATTTCCAAATAAGGTCACACTCCTAAGTACCAAGGATGGGGCCTGAACATATCTTTTTGGGAGGCACAGCTCAGCCCACGACAGAAGGGGAGGCCCTGCTGTGAGGATGCCTGGGGGGGTTCTTGCGGGGTGGAGACAAGTTTGTCCCAACATGAAGAAGCCTGGTCATGTCAGTAGATGGAGGGGCAGAGTGCCAGCAGAGGGGACAATGGCAGAGATCAGGAAAAAGGGGGTAACAGCCAAGTGAGTTCCCGAGGGGGCAG